TCTTCATGTAACGACACTGATGTAGCCAGAACATGGGAGTGGCGATCTGCGCGCAGTGTGAGTGTGTGGACGGTTTGTTACGCTGTGCTCGCTGTAAGAGGCTTATTTATTGTTCGAAGAAGAGCTCAAGGCTACACTGAAATCTCAAAGATGGCTTGCAACTAAAAAGGCTCGGCTGACAAGGTGAACAACTCGAGAAACCTACTACAGTCTTTCTCCAACGCTGTTGATTTGCCTCAAGTTCCAGAACGTGAGGAAATGAAGCTCAGGGATGCATGTGAGTCTATAACTCATCACGAAGTTCGGAGACATTATTTCAAATACTCAGGCAGAAATTCTGAGCCAGCTTTTTGACTCCGTATGAAGCGTCAACACGAGCTTCTAAGGGCGCCATCTCGTTCATCACCCCTATATCGGGTAACACCATCGACCCAAAAGGAAACACACGTTTTTCTCCTATCTTCACAGCTTTAGACAGACAGAATTTAAACCACTACCACTATGAGATGTTTGGAGAATGTTATCGCGGATTGGATGCAATTTGGCGTGTGTGTGTAGACAGTTCTTAGGCCGCAAGAAAGGTACGCCGTGTTAGAAGAAGTAAAACAATGTTACGATTCAGGAATGTTTAAGTGACGTTCAACTGTTAGTGGCAACGAAAGAATGAGTGAAGACAATTCGTGTGATCAGATTGACGTGGAAGGATGGAAAAGGATATGCGGCAACAATATTGGATATCTCATTTCAAGTGGGATGCTGTTTAATGCGTGCCAAAAACTAAGTAATGGAAATTTAGCCGACCTAACACAATAAATACAGAACTAAGGTAAGTTTATTTTTTGTGCGTCATTTAAGGTGCAACAATGTTTCATGTGCTGGCTTCATGTTTTTTTAAAAATTGTATTTCTTCAGCTTTGTATTCAAAAAATCTGGGACTCTTCCTGCAGTTTGTTGATGTTTGAGTAAATATATATAATTGTATGAATTGGCATTTCTTAAGTGACATACTTGAATAATAGGTTCCTGCTAACAAAAGGCATGAATTATGTGGGTTTAACATCAACGAATAGTAAATAATGGAAACGAGGGAGTAGTTATTGGAAACTAGTTATATGGAGATTACAATTCATTGTAGTACATCAAAATATAATTTGTTCGTAAGAGGTGAACTTCTCTTCACCTCCATATAATTAGCCAATAGATTCTGAAAGAAGATTAATGATTGATTAACTTGTCTAGTATTAATCCCTTGCAAATGTTTTCTTTGGGACGCCCTCCATTTTCGCTTGTGTGAGAGGAGTGAGAGATTTGGTGATATGAAACAGGAATATTGTATCAAAATGTCAATATTTGTTAAACATTGGATTTTTTGGTGTGAACATATCTGCGTGATGAATTCGTCAACTATGCTTGTTACGAATATTTATTCCGTAGTTTAACAAAATTTAGTAAAGGAGCGAGGTAGTATTCTGGCTCAGAAAACGTGCATGATAATTACAGATCCTAGAGTGGGTCACAAATGGATTGCCGTAGTTGTGGAAAGTGTAATATATACTGATTTCGATCATGTTCCCGCGTTCGGCAGATTCTTCTTTATTTTTCGCCAATGGACTGAATTTTTATACTCTTTAATAATTAACAGATTTACCAAATAAGAGCATGTCGTTTTGGGACTAATTTGTGAAATGTCACAGAATTGCTGTTCTCACCTTCAGAAACAAACCCCTAATTCCTTTAGTTATGCTAATGATTGTGCAAGGCAACTGGAATCAAAGCTCTGCTAAAACTATTTAAAAACGGACAAAGTCAGCTTTTTAATATTTATTTAAATATAGCGAAATACTTCAACAAATATAGTGATAGGAAAAATGACCAATGTTGTGATAACCTATAAAGTTAAGAAAATTTCATACCCAGGAAAAGTGTGGTCACCTTATTTTTGGAATGTGCTCTGTAATTATCTTGATAACTATTTGTTTGTTTACTTGATATACTATTCCTTTAGCTTACTTGGTTACACGTTTAGTTTGATAAAAATAAATCAATTCGCTCTAAATATATTTTGGATGTCTGATTTCACGATTACTGATGCAACACCTAGTACAGAAACAACTGATATTAGGCTGAGCTGAGTGGTCAAATAGCAGAGGTTGTTGCTTTATCATCATCTTCCTAATCATATATGTTTTAAAGTATAAACTCACTTTGGAATATTATTTACATGGGTCCAGGAACTGATGTGCAGATTATACAACTGTAATTGTGTGGCTTGGAGTTTTTAATTTTTAAATGATATAGTGGCAGGCAGCCTGAGACTTCTATTTGCTTTGTGAATTTTGTTCTGTCACATCTGACTGTAATTTTTTTGTATGTAAAGAGCCAGAAAAGTGAGAATCTTCTGAAAAATTTGGTATCGATTAAGTTCAATGCATTTTGTATAAACATTTATAACAAGATTCATGATTTGTGTAATGGGAATAGAAATCAACATGCACTCAAAATTGTAGAATATCTTCACATGGCCAAATTTTACGGTGAAGATTTAATGTCATGACCTACAGATCACTGCCATTAGATTTCTATTCTGATTTTTGAGGGTTATTTGTTGCAACATGGTAATGTCAATAAAGTGTTAAACGGTAAGATTCCAATTTACTGATTATTTTAAGTGTGTTAAGTAGACAATTGTTTTTTTAAGTCGGCATAGCTGTGACCCTAAAAGTAATGTTGTTGTTGTAATGAAGAATTTAGTCATCAACGGGTGATTGACAAGACATCTGTACATGTACTGTGTTGGTGTGTGTGGGGGGGGGCAATTAAGGAAATACCTTTAAATCTAATTTGTGTCAAATTTTAATTTAAGTAACAATTTTTAATTGATTCAATGGAGTTAACAATCATGCATGCAGTAGATGAAACAAGTGGAGTTAGTCTCGGTTATAATGAAATCATGGTATACATTGGATAATAATCCTAGAAAACTACAACAATAAAAAATGTAAACCACATCTGAAGCTACGTTAACTTATAACAATACTACCATTTTTTAATGCTGGTCTGACCAAAGATTGCCAACTACTGGTCACATATGGTTTATGAATGCAAATAAATATTATCTCTAACATCAATTAACAAGGTCCACCACATAGAATGTTGTGTTACAATACAAACATTCTTCAATTATTTCTGTTGTCATGTGTTCCCATTAAGGAAAGTTTAGTGTTTTGAAAAGAACAACACTCTAATCAAATTGCATTTTAATCACAGGTTTCCATGTATACGAGGTAGATCAATCTAGTTAATCACATTGTGTAAATTTGTGTTGAATAAAATTAAATGTAATAAACTATTGGAAGTACTTGCACGTTTTGAAGAGGGGCATCACACTGATGAATATATGTAAATCAAGAAAATTACGTTATAAGGTTAGGGCCAGTTTCGCACAACCTTACTTTGAAAATGCGCGCCAAAACGCAACAGCTGCGCTATCTGCACCAGGTCCGGCTGAGTGAGGAAACAAACTTAGTCCCCCGCCTTTTAACATTGAGTGAACCGGCCCTGTTTATGTACGACACTGATGGTAGCAGGACATGGAGTTGGCGATCTGCGCGCAGTGTGGAGTGTGTGGACGGTTGTTACGCTGTGCTCGCTGTAAGGAAGCTTATTATTGTTCGAAAGAGCACCAAAGGCTACACTGGAAATCTCATAAGATGGCTTGCAATAAAAGTCGGGCTGACAAGGTTGAACAACTCGCAGAAACATCTACTACCAGTCTTTCTCCAAACGCTGTTGATTTGCCTCAGAGTGTCCAGGAACGTGAGGAAGATGAAGCTCAGGGATGGAATGTGAGTCCTATAACTCATGAAGGAAGTTCGGAGACTATTATTCTAAATACTCAGGCAGAAATTCTGAGCCCAGCTTTTGACTCCGGTGATGAAGCGTCATACACGAGTTCTAAGGGCGACATCTCTGGTCATACCCCTAATCGGGAAACACCATCGACTTCAAAGGGAACAAACGGTTTTCCTCCTTATCTTCACAGCTTTGAAGACAGACAGAATTTTAATACCACTATTGATGATGTTTGGAGAATGTTAGTCGCGGATTTGGATCAATTTGGCGTGTGTGTTGTAGACGCTTTCTTAGGCCCAGAGAAAGGTAGCGCCGTGTTAGAAGAAGTTAAAACAATGTACGAGTCAGGAATGTTTAAGGACGGTCAACTTGTTAGTGGCAAAGGAAAGAATGATGTGAAGACAATTCGTGGTGATCAGATTACGTGGATAGATGGAAAGGATAGTGCGGCAACAAATATTGGATATCTCATTTCAAAAGTGGATGCTGTTGTAATGCGTGCCAATAAACTAAGTAATGGGAAATTAGCGACCTACACAATAAATGACAGAACTAAGGTAAGTTATTTGTTTGTGCGTCCATTTTAAGGTGCAACAATGTCTTCATGTGCTGCTCAGTGTTTTTTTAAAAATTGTATTTCTTCACTTTGTATCTCAAAAGAATCTGGAGACTCTTCTTGCAGGTTTGTTGATGTTTGAGTAAGATATATAGTAATTGTATGAATTGTCATTTCTTAAGTGACATACTTGAATAATAGGTTTCCTGCTAACGAAAAGGCGATGAATTATGTGGGTTTAACATCACGAAAGTAAATAATGAACGGGAGTTATTATTGAAACTAGGTTATTATGGAGATTACAATTCATTGTAGGTAAATCAAAATATTAATTTGTTGCGTAAGAGGTGAACTGTCTCTTCACCTCCATATTAATTAGCCAATTAGATTCTGGAAGAATGATTTAAATGATTGATTGAACTGTCTTAGTATTATCCTTGCATGTTTTCTTGAGCCCTCATTTTGCTTGGTGTGAGAGGAGTGAGAGATTTGGTGATTATGACAACAGGAATATTGTATCAAATGTGCAATAGTTTGTTACATTGGAGTGAACATATCTGGTGATGAGATTTCGTCAACTATGCTTGTTACTATTATTTATTCGTAGTTTAACAAATGTTAGTAAAGGAGCGAGGGTAGGTATTCTGGGGCTCAGAAAACGTGCATGTATAATAACAGAATCCTAGAGTGGGTCTACAAATGGGTTGCCGTAAGTTGTGGAAAAGTGGGATATATATTGATTTTCGACATGTGTCCCGCTGTTCTGGCAGATTCTTCTTTATTTCCGCCAAATGTACTGAATTTTATACTCTATTATAATTCAACACGATTGTACAATAAGAGCATGTTTTGGGACTATTTGTGAAATGTCACAGAATTTGCTGTTTACTTCAGAGAAACAAACCCCTAATTCCTTTAGTATGCTAATGTATTAGTGCAGGAGAATCTGGAATGCAAAGGGCTCTGCTAATAACTATTTTAAAATCGACCAAAGTCATGCTTTATTTAATATTTTATTTAAATATCCTGAAATACTTCACAAATATAGTGATGGAAAAATGAAATGTTGTGGATAACCTATAAGAAGTTAAGAAATTTCATCCCAGGAAAAGTGTGGTCACCCTGTTATTTTTGGAAGTGTGCTCTGTAATTTATCTTGATATACTATTTGGTTGTTTACTTGATATACTATTTCCTTATATGATTTACTTGGTGTACAGTTTAGTTGTATAAAAATAATACAATTCGCTCTGAAATATATTTTGGATGTCCTGAATTTCACGATTATACTGATGGCAACCCTATGTACAAAACAACTGATCTTAGCTGAGCGTAGTGGTCAAATAGCGAGGGTTTGTTGCTTATCATATCTTGCCTAAATCATATATGTTTAAAGTATAAATCACTTATGGAATATTTATTTTACATGGGGCAGGAATGATGTGCAGATATACAACTGTATTTGTGGCTTGGAGTTTTAATTTTTAATGTATATTAGTGGCAGGCAGCCTGAAGACTTCTATTGCTTTTGGGAATTTGGTTGCTGTCACATCTTGACTGTAATTTTTGTATGTAAAGAGCCAGAAAGTGAGAATTTCTGAATTTGTATCGATTAAGTTCTAATGCATTTTGTATAAACATTTATACCAGGATTATGATTTGTGGTATGGGAATAGGAAATCACATGCACTCAAAATTGTAGAATATCTTCACATGGCCAAAGTTTTTACGGTGAAGATTGTAATGTCATGACCTAACACATCACTGCCATTTAGATTCTATTCTGATTTTGAGGGGGTTATTTGTTGCAAAATGGGTTAATGTCAATAAATGTGTTAAACTGGTAAGATTTCCAATTTACTATTATTTTTAAGTGTATTAAGTAGGACAATTTGTTTTTAATGTCTGGCATAGGCTGTTGACCCTAAAAGTAATGTTTGTTGTTGGTAATGAAGAATGTTGAGTCATGCAAAGGGTGATTGACACAGACATCTTTGGTACATAACGTGTGTGTGTGTGTGTGTGGGGGGGGGGCATTAAAGGAAATAACTTAAATGCTAATATCTGTGCAAAATTTTATTTTAAGTAACAATTTTTAATTGATTCAATGGAGTTAACAATATGCATGCAGTAGATTGAAAAAAGGTGGAGTTAGGTCTCGGTTATTAATGAAATCAATGGTATACATTGATAATAAACCTAGAAAACTATCAACATAAAAATGTAACCACACTGAAGCAGTAACTTATAACACATACTACCAATTTTTTAATGCTGGTTGGACCAAAGATTGCCTTACTATGGTCACATATGGTTTATGAATGCAATAAATATTACTTCTAACTAGTCTAGATTAAAAAGGTCCAGCACATCTAGATGTTTGTTACAAATACAAACATTCTTCAATTATTTCTGTGTCATGTTGTTCCCATTAAGAAAGTTTTATGTTTTTCAAAAGAACACTCTAATCATAATTGCATTTTAATCACAGGTTTCCATGTATACTGATGGATAGATTCAATCTAGTTAATACATTGTGTAAATTTGTGTTGAAAAAATTAAATTTAAATTAAACTATTGGAAGTACTTGCACAGTTTTGAAGAGGGCATCACACTGATAGAATATAGTGTAAATTCATAGAAATTATGTTATAAGGTTAGGGGCCAGAATGTAATTTAAATGTGCTGCAGATTCTTGATAAAAGCTGTAATTATTTCAAATAAGGTACCACGGAATTAAAACAATTCTGCTGCATTCATTCTTGCTGTCCACATTGGTTTACTAATTGTTACAATGGATTGGATTTAAATTTTCTCTGGTTTAAAACTTTCTTTGTTTCCTGATTATTAGTCTGCTGATTTTATTCATAAAACATTTATGTATTGTGTGTCCATAAGGTGCCGAAGTCACTAGGCTAATACAGTGTGCCAGAGTACAGCAGATTAGATGGCATGTAGTTCCAAATGAGCAAATCATGACTTTTTTTAAAAGTTGATCGAGTACCATAATACCTTTCACTTTAGATCCGAAATCACAAATGAAGATTTAACCCTCCGAATACGTGGGCTCGTTGACAGTCTCAGTCTCTTGGAAATTTTATGATAATTCATTGAAAACCTGAGCGGATTTAATTGTGGCTCAAGGAATTTTTTATTCAAGATATTTTTATCTTATTTCATTTTCAATTTCATTGAATACATTTAAGCATGCCTTACATTATGTAATAATTCATAAGAATTGTGTTTGGGGTTCTGGCGAGACCCCCCATGGCATTTTCTATAACTATTTTCGAAAAGAAGTGCTTGGTTTTGATTGATAATATTGCGTTTCTAACAAGTGTAAACACAGTTTGATCTTTTTCCTATAGATTAACAGATGCAGACTAAAAGGATTTTTAAGTTTCAGTCTGAAAACATTTTCAAAACGTGCATTTGAGAATGGGGTCTCATTAGGAGCCCCATGGTATTTTATGTTCTTGTGAGACCATGGTACTCGAAGGATTTATTGACTTGATATGTTCTGTGGAATCTAGTTGATGTAAAGGACAGTCTGAGCTGTGACATGGAAGATTTACAGAATTTTATTTGTAAATAATTGCATTAATTAATGACATTCTCATTATTATCTGAAAACAAAATCCAACATTGAATACTAGGATTGTGCAGAGTATATTGTTGAGCTTAAGTGACTTCTTTGTTGTGATGAATTTGTTACTATAACAGGAGAAAACCTGATTGGCCTTTAGTTTCATATATGAAGGTTGATTTACTGATTGTAATTCAAAAATTTTCATTAAAATCCGGAAGGAGCCAAAAAGGCATTGTGATGACTTTCCTTCGGAAATGAGAATTTATACTAATAATTGTTACCGTCTAAATAACAAATGCTGGAGATAATTTTAATAGTTATTTGGAATTTTGAGACATTTAATTCACAAATACAAATTTGAAAAAATATGCTTTGAGTTGAATTTAGGAATGAATCTTGTCGAAAAAAACATCACAATATGGATCAAATTTGTGTTCATTTACAGTACTATATTTAGTTAGTACAGTTTGAGAACGAGGCAATTATTCAGCTCTCTGATTCATTGCTATTCAAATTTATATTATTGAACACATTGAACATTCAAGTTTTCTGATGTGAATATCAGTGTTTCTTTTTACAGTAATTTCATTTGCTACCAATTTTCTGTACAGTCTTGTTCTGTCAGTTCGTTGTTTGTTTTGTCACATTTTGCTCTCCTTGTTCCTTATCTAGATATTGAGGCTGTTTTTATGTAGTATAATCTTTGCATAATCATTGTTCTTATTATTTTATCTATTTTTAATGTAATATGGACTCTACGTAAACAGTTAAATTTTTTGCAGGAAGATATTGTATGAGGAATTGTTTAGAAGGTTTATGTACCGGGTTAAACAATCTATTAATATTATTGATGAGAAAATGCTGAATGATAGGTTATTGGATTTTTACTCATTGACTCTAGTTAAGATCATTGCTTTTTTTAAATTTGCATAATTTTTATAATCCTAGAAATAGTGCAGGAGTTAGCTCATGTGTAACATATTTGTTAATTACAGTTGTTTTAAAATTTCATATTATTTTCCTCATATCAGTGAGATAACTTTTAAGTAAAAAGAGGAAGAAGAGAGTGAAGAATTAGGACCCTGGGCATTTTTAGTACATTCTGGTTTGTATTATATGAGGAGTCAGTACATTGAAACAGATTTTCTTCTTGTACACTACATAGTGTATATCACTCAATCGATCTTTCTTTGTGATTATGAGGCTGCATAAACAAATCAAGAAAGGAATTGTAATTTTTTGATATTTGGAATATGAGTGTTCTATTACATTTTGTGAATAAAAAACATAGATTAAATGAACAAAATAAATGTGGAGTATCTATTCAAATGGAGCTATTTCCACTTCCAAAGGAAACTTTTTTGTTTTTTTGTTTCATTTTGAATGATGTGGTAAGTCTCATTTAGTTGTGT